TTGATACTAATACAACTACTGTTGCCGATCGGAACGATGTGTCTACACCAACATCAACCGGTGATACAGTCGCATCAGGTACACGTCTAAAACAATCACAATCGAATACTAGCAATGCACGACAAAAAACAATACCGGCCAAACGAAAGAAGCGAGCAAACACAATTGCAAATGCACCGGCAACAAAGAAGCGAACAACTCGTGCCACCAGTATGCCGAATACATTGAATAATGATAATGTCAGCGATGATTTCAATGATGGTGACGATGGCGACAATGGTGATGAGGATTCAGAAAGATACCAATCGATCAAAATGGGCAAACGTAAGTCGTTCAATGAAAATCTAGAGAATAAGGATGAATTGGCTAGCATTATCAATAAAATTGTCACGGACATGAGTCACACTTGGCGACTTGGCGCACTCAACGTACACTGTAGCCTCATGCGAATCATACAATCGAACAATGAAGATGCCATTCGTACCGAATTTTGGAACAGTACGTGTGAATACAATCGAAATTATTTTGATGGTTATTTTCGTGGTGTGTATGGTAATCGTATCAATGGCAAGACAAAATTGCAAAAAACATGGAAATTGGATCAGGCTATAATCAAGTTCTGTCGGAAGCACAAAGTCATTGAGAAAAATGCAATTGGTTATGGTAACATTTTCACCTATGTCACTCGGAAATATTTCACCAATTTCATGATGTGTATCATACGTAGTCTGTATAATAATGTTCGGGCGTATTTGAATCATTGTGTGATTTCCGAAGAATTGGCAAACCATCCGAAATCAAATGATTCGGTTGCGAGCACATCACGAGCCAAAACACCACCACCGCCACAAAAATGTCGAACATTGAAACAGATACGCAAAGCGAATTACCAATTGATCACCAACCGCTATTTGTTCAGCGACGAGGCAGAGAATGAAAAAGCCAAAACGAAAACGTGATCCAATTCTATTGACACTAGCTATCGAACGTCTTCTGAAGCGTATTCAAACCGATTTTAATCCGATGGATTTCGAAGCGAATCGACGCGGTTATTTCTCCAAATTGACAACAAATTGGTATCGTCATGTGCCATTTTTCATACAACTTCAGCAATATTGTCGTGCAAGAAATCGTGAACGCTGTCTCATGATCAATAAACAAATGGATGAAGATGAAAAGAACCAACCGGCTGAAGTTGCCGCAGCAAAGGCCAAACTTCAGGCCACCACTCACACTAAATCGAAATCGAAAACAATCTGTCGTCCGATTGCCGAATATGTGCCACGAAAACGATTGCCAGGTGTCAAATATACATGGGTTCGATGTGCGCCAAATTTGACCGTGTATCAAGTCATTCCGGAGGCACGTTTTGGTCATATCTACATCCAAATCGATAAGCGTGGCCTCTACGAAATCCTTAAGCGGTTGAAAAATCCAAAGGAACAGGAAATGAAAAAGAACAATGGCAGTAATAAACGATGGGAACAACCGTTCAATGGTAACAAAGAACTGTGGGATCGCATGTGGCGTAAATATTTTGGCATCAGTAAAATCGAAGGCCATTCGGCTGGCTTATCATTCGCCAATCGAATACAAACCGATGGCAATGCATTCGTTTCTCTGATGAACAAAGAGAAGAAGACGAAGAAGAAAAACTGATGAAATGGATGCTGCAACCAAAGAACGGCCCCTGCGATCGCGAAGTAAGCTTTGATGTTGGCGATCGTGAAATCATTGCCGGCCAAATTATCGATCGAGAGAAAGACGATACGGGCGCTGTGAAAGTGAAAAGCGTACGCAATTTTAAAATATCCAGCAAGCAATATCATTGGATGACGAAATTGCCACAGTTCAAGAAACAACGAGATCGACTGGTTGGTACGCTTGAAGACGACAGAGCCGACGATCGTGAGCGGATCGAACGGGAGTGTGAGGACCATGTACAGCCGAGCAGCAGGACGAACGATTTTGAAACGTACGCCGACCATACGTTAAGATTTTGGAAAATGGTTCGTAGAAAGGCCGAAAGACAACGATAACTCGATTCAAAGTGCGTCGCCAGTGTAAACCATCGCCAGAAGCACTGCCCGATGGCGGTTCATTCATTTACAGTCACAAGAATTCAAAACAATTGAAGAAGCAGAAAAAATATCGCCCACGGTATTCGGACGAAGATGGCTGCTATCCAAAAGTCGAACTGAAACGCTTCAATATGGTCGATGGAAGGCTTGTGCCGGCTGCTGAAAATGCTGCGATATTACCAGTGAAGAGGCCACGAACATATTTGCGACGTTGGCGTCTAGATGTCATCACATGGAAATACATACGAAATGATGATGATATTGTTGATACGACAAAAGTCCGTTCGGTTACACTAATGGTAAATCGAGACACTAATGCCGGTAGAAATATTCGACTTCGCGGTATGTTTACAGTGAATCACATTTTTTTTTTATATAACTTTGAATCTAATATCCAATTTTCATCGTACATGTATTTAGGTCATTAGGAACTATTTGGAATAAAATTGCCAGATGCATTCACAGTCGATGCCAAGATACAAGATCAGCATGCAGAGCGACGCTTCAAACAATTTGATGAAAACAAGCGTAAAAAGCAACAAAAGGTGAGCTGCATTATTTGTTGAATACAATTTTTGAATATATGTAATGTGTAATGTGAATTTGATTTTTATGTTTACATTTCAATATCAAACAAGAAATTCCAATGGAGCTGAATATGATTCGGATCAGTCATGGTGGTCGTCAAGCAGCGAAGAAGATGCAATCGATTTGAGCGACAGTGAATTGTCTGACAACAGTGATGATAGTAATGATAGCGGTAGCGGTAGCGACGATGAAAACTGATAATACGAGCATCGTTTACACACTACACATCGCTCATTCAACAAATCAACCATCAATCAATCAAACAAATAAATGAAAAATTAAATTTAGTTTAATTTAAGGAACAATGTTAATAGTTTTTATCATGAAGTCTGGCTATATTTAGCGTGGACTTCCGTATTATCTAACCGATACGAAGGTCCTACAGTCAATACAATCATCAAATGTGTGAAAATATTTTATTCGGATGCACTAACAGAAAAAACACAAAAAACATGCACGCAATTTCTTCGCCTTCGTTTTAAGGACAAAAAAACATAACACTACTGAACAACTCTAGTCAATAACTGTTCATTTTCAATGTGGAAGTTTAGTGTTGCCATAAATATTGCTTGTTAAATAACAAGGAGCTTTCAAGGCCAAAATACACTTTACTTACACCGAAGTAATATTTAATGAAGCATATATTTTCTGTTTTGAGATTGGTAGTTTTTTTTATGAAAGTGACGATTTCATTGGAAATCTGTCTGTGTATTAGGCATTGTTTCTCATGTCTGCAAATAACAAAATGGTAATTATCAACTCAAAGCAAAAAATCTATGTAATTTAGTGTTATTTAAACAGTACATCGATTGATGTTACGTCTTTCTGAAGCAAAAAACATAAAAAAGATGGTATGGAAAACGCTTCCATTCATTTTTTTGATTTATTATTTTTACTGACTTCACAACGTTTTGTTAGTAATGAGCTCTCAATCAGTTGTTTGAAAAATTATATACAATCGTAACAACACATTATTTTATGATTAAAGAAACGTCGATTGTAATTTTTTTCTCACACACTGCTTACATTACGTCGACTCGCCTTTATTACAGGAAAAATGATTTCAAATTTGCTGTGTGTTGTAAAATTCAGAATACAAACAAAATTCACTTGTTTTTCATATTTTTAAAGTCGTTATTGTAGTCATTTCAGGGTCAAATGGAACGATGAATTTTTAACAAAAATTCAGAATGTATTTTCTTTTATTTCGTTGTTTTATTTACCGCAACAAGACGTAGGCACAAACAAAGTGCGCCATATTGATTTTCAATATTTTTTGCAAACACATACAAGGAGAGACCATTTCATGAGAAAAAAACACGATTCAGAACCATCGATATGATTCTAAATTTTAATTGCATTTGTATGACAGTTTTATGTGATGATAAAAAGTCTTACATCCGTGATATGAACTTTTCCGCACTGTGATCCACAACATACATTTATTACGTATCTTTTACCGTAAATATAAATTCATGAGAAAACTGAATCTGATATAAGTTTTGCGATACAAATAATTTTTGATTGACTTTTCAATGCCTGTATGATATCGTAATCATGTGAAAATTTTCAGATGTTATTTTTTTCACAAAAAGCTTACATTCTGAAAGTTTGAAGAAATTTCAATACAATTGAGTGATACCTTCCATACAATTTTTTTCGTTTTTGAGCAAAAAAACCAAAATTTTATTCGGGAGGTACCCCTATTATGCATTCAAATTTCTTCAAACTCTCTGAATGTTATTCTTGTATGAAAAAAATAAGCTGTGCAAGGTTTCAGCCAATTATGATATCATACAGGCATCCATAAAAAATCCAAATTTTTTGAAATTTTTGTATGGAAAGTGTGTAGAAACATATTTGTATCGTTAAACTAACGTCATATTCGGTTTTCTCGTATCCAAGAACCCCTCAATACATATTTTTGAGTGTTTAGGTATACATTGAATATCACTTTTGGAAGAAAAATTGAATTTTTCTCATGGATGGCCATGGGCATCACACCAGACATGACACTTCACTCTATCAACCAAAGTCGCTCAAAATCTAATGGTTTCTATTCCTCGGCACCCCCAATCATCCTGTGTAGTCAGGTTTTGAATTACTTTTCTTGTCTGAAAGTTATCGTGTTAACAAATTTTTGCGTACAGGATACAGGGTACGCACTAGGGTGGTTCGATTTTTGTGAAAATTCATAAGGGATACTGGCTATAGTTATAAGTTATGGAAAAATATGTAAGATTTACGAATATGACGTTTTTTTGACATAATTGATGTCACAGACCTAGCGCCTCCAGGGGTCCATTTTTTGTAATTTGACCAAAAATTTCAATTTTTCAAAAATTTTCAACACATTTTAAAAACATTTTTTCTGGTTCATAACGCTGCTTATTAAGTGAAATAGA